AGACGCGTATCTGCACACTACAGGAAACCTTTAAAAGTCAAATACATCAACCGTATAGATGTTGTGATGCATATAGCTTTAATAATTTAGATATAATATACATGGGCACTCTAATTAGTGCTTAATAAATTGTTTTAATACACTTTTTATCGCTTTAAACATTATAAAATTTAAGACCTATCATCGTCCAAAACGATTTAAATCTTAATGATACTAACCACGCTGTTTTGTTTAATATATATATATATAAGCAAATCCTTTTTTTTTATTATGTGAGACCATTTTTTTTAGTAGCACATAAAGAAAAATTAGTGAAAAATATTTAAAAAATGATGAAGATTATTTTAAATTCGTACGTTAAAATTTGCTATAGAAGTTTTTTATACTACTAAAACTGATTATTTGTGAAAATGGTCTGTATTTTTATTCTTTGATATTCAATGTTTTCAAAGTTTTACATATTTTATTTTTATTCTAAAAAAACGAAATTAACCGTCTTTTAGTACCATCGGATTTCTTTGAATGGAATGCACTAGCTTTGCGTGTGTGGTCATCATAATCGATATAAATAATTAACATGATTACGCAGTACAGATGTATTTTACTATTGACTTCAGAATAGAGAAAGAAATGAGATTCAAATAAAAAAAATTGTAAGAAATAGACGTATCTAGTTTTAAATGATGAATTTAAATAAAAAGTGTCACGAGGTTTCTTGTATTTTATGTTTAAGAGCCTACAACAAAAGATAAATTTTGTAGGTTTTTAGTATTAGAACAATTTTTCATCACAGAGAAAATAATTAATTTCACATAGATTCAAGCAGTATGAAGCTATCTTTATTATTTAACTTATAGAAACTTATAGCAAAGTCAATTATTATAAAGGATTAAACATGTCACCACGTTTACATAATGTGTTTAATCCATTAGAATAGTTTATATGTCTATATAAAACTTTCGAGTTCGATACTGTCATATTTATACATAATGTCTTATAGGCGTGGTATGTATAAGTAATGATATTATTAAACAGAAGCTTTACAAGAGTTTATTCTTGAAGGAATCCGTATGTATGTGAATCGAATGCATAGGACGGCGTCTTGGATAAAACGTCAGAGTTGTTTTACAACATAAGAAGCCCAAGTTGTATTATAACTCAATCTATATGTATTATATTATTACATCACCCCTCATTTAGTTATTGTTAATATTATAATTATATTATATCCACTGGCTTGTACTAGTTTAGATTTTACGAATTCTCCAAAAAAATGAGAATTCAAAACAATCGTGATACAATTTAATGCACATGCAATAGCTGATCAATCTTTGTTGGTGTCGTGGACCTCTTATTTTGTCTGTTAATACTCTTGTAATTTTGATTTTAGGGAGCAACTCCTGGTTTTCACTGATCTATAGATCATTCTGTCCAACGTGATCGCTCTAGGCCACCTGATCGCGTGCAACAGACACCACGCACACCCGTCGATTCTGTATTATTTTATTCATATTTGAAAATAATTCGTTTTTTATTATACGCATCATTAATATGGTTTCCACATATAAATAACGCACGCTATGTCATTATAAATACTATATCTGGTTTAAATAATAAGTAATATACGGTTTCTATAAGCGTTTCCATCGAAGATTTTCTAGTTGAAATCGATGGACCGATTAAATAAGTATTTTTTTATTTTTCATGAACTTTTTTCTCGTATTTCTTAATATTTGAACATTTTTCACTAGGATGAATTATTAATATATGGTTTACATGTTTTTTCAGAATTTAGNAATGGACCGATTAAATAAGTATTTTTTTTATTTTTCATGAACTGTTTTCTCGTATTTCTTAATATTTGAACATTTTTCACTAGGATGAATTATTAATATATGGTTTACATGTTTTTTCAGAATTTAGAAAACTCTATTGCATTATTGTTCAATTTTCTTAAAAAAATATATTTATTTATCTGCTTTATTATAGAGATCTTGTTTATTGATTTACATTGGTCAGGTGATATACTAGATTTCAAGTAAAAAATTTTAATAAACGTTTATAACCGTTTCGAATTTGGTTTTCGTTATTTTTTCTATCTCATCTGCATCACAGTTGTCCGCGAAAGCTGCCGCTTGTTAAATAAATTCTTACTGTATCATTAATTATTATAAAGTGAGGGGTGAGTGTGGTGCAGAGGCGGATGAGCTGACACTTTTCCTGAGCATGAGGTAATAGTTGTGAACCCGCCCCTGCACCATCCCCTTCACTGTCACTCTCGTTCGTATATATATATATAAATGTAAACACGAGAGCACAAGATTAGTGACGACCCAATGATGAATGTTTGTTTTTACCCTCCGCCATACCCTCAAACACTTCCACCGACAACTGTCTCGGACGCGTACACAATTTCCCTTTTGGCATTCCAATATTGTTAGTGAATGTATGTTCGTAAATTTGAAGTTATCGGTTCATCAATTTCGAGTCCGGAAAGCTATTTACTAATATCGCGGGATAGGTATTGAAAAGAGCATAATGATAAACAACGAGCAACAGTGTAATACATTTAGATATGCATTCGAAAATGTTTTGCTTGTTTTATTAATGGACCGTTTTGAGCAACTAGAGCTTTGACATTTCAAACAAAACAACCAAATGAATCTAGACAAGGTTTTTCTTTAGATTATTTTACTATGAATTATTTTGTATTATTAGAATTGAGAGAAATTCGTTTGTACATTGAATTAGCTCAATTAATCCAACAGTTTAGCTAAATTAAAGCAACAAAAGTGTTTTCTTTGTAAATTTGATAATAAAGAAATATAATCACGAGAGTGACACACAATAGTTTTTATTTGAATAGATTCAGTACAGGTTATATTTAAATTAAGGGTTTGTACACTAAAATACTAATAATGCGTTTATCAAACATAATTACAACTGATAAATTGTATAAAAAACGACAGCCGGTATTTTAACGTATAATAAAAATACGTTATTTATATCGATATGTTGACCAGCATAGTGTGTTTTATTAGACTTGCAGCTGTTCTTTAAAACGATTTCCATAAAAATTACCATACTAATTAAGTAGATGTATTCGGTATTTTGGTCGGGGAATTACAGCTTCTGTACAATACTTAGAACAGAAGCCAAGTTGTTAGCACGCGCATTATTTACAAACTACTTTACGGTAATCTTTGCAGTTGCAGAATTTGTAATTACTCCAGTGAGTAATCAACGCAACATATTTGTCAATAACACAAATCCGTAGTGTACTTATAATTCCCTTTAATTTACGATACTCGGTGCTAAACTTGCCGAATCGTTTATAATATAAATTATAACATCTTTCTTTGTTTTGGCCATCATGTAATTGTTTATTGATAGCACTCAAGCTGGCAATTATACAGGAAACACTACATTTAATAAGTAGTCTTTGTCAACATAAAAATTCATTAGCTTGCAATTAAACACAGTATTCTCTGTAACAGTATTCCAATTGTGCGCGATGGTACGAATAAATATTAATTTGGCTCATAATTAATAATGTATGTCGTTTAAATAAATTTGTTTGTGAAAATAAGCTGCGTGCCAAATGTTTTGATGATAAGTTTATGTCTGATTTCCCACATCATTCTAACGTGTAATTCGAACAAATTATGCAATTTTCAAAGGACGATTGATTTTTTAATGATAGACATTTGTTCATAGCTAACATTTGATACTCGTTTAATGCGACTTGAGTTATGAGGGAAAACGAATGATTTTATAATTTCTTTTTGTGTTAATACTCCAATGACTGAAAATAAACAGTAAAAAATGATAAAATTGTACCAAGAAACTGAATTGCATCGATACTACTTAGCCGCTTCCCTTGAACGTCGTTTATAGGATCTAAATTTTTAAATAAGTTATTTCAGTTTAATTACCCTAAGGTAAATTCACGTGCGTTTAACAAGTGAAAACGTATGCGTGGACTGTATAAAATCGTGAGGTCTCAGTTGAAGAATATTATTATCGAGAGCGAAAATAATTACAATTTAGATGACGCGTGGCTGTCCGCCAAGTGGACTAATGTAATTTTAATGAAACACGTGTTATTTTTCTATGAGCAAGCTAACCACTACATCACATTGGTAGTGTGTATCTGTCGCCACCGCCGCTTTACATATTATTAATTCACTTAGAAATCGTCATATTATAGTCAACCAAATGTCATAAGCAATTTATTAGACCGACGTCGCGGGCCAAAAATATACAACAAAAATGAAAATTATAATTGAACATTTTTAAATGATTTATTCCGTGTGGTCTTCACAGTTTGAAAACATTTCTAACTCATCAAATGTCAAGTTATCCCGCAACACTCATAATCTATTGGTTTGAATTTAGATTTTTGTGTTTTGTAATTGATTTGTAGTATTTGATTGATTTTGTCCTGTTTCTTTTGGCTTTTTTGTAACTCATTGGATCAGTTGTGTTTGGTTTGGTAATTCAATATATTAAAAAACCAAAATAAAATTGTATTGGATTACTTTTAGCAGAATATTCTGTGGGTTTGAGGATTCTAACCTTTTAAATAATAGTCACAATTCAATAGACAGTCAAATGTATAATATGTAGTGATGGTTAGTTGTTAAATTGACTGAGGGTCATGACAATGTTTTATCGGTCTCTCATCCAATGAATTTTTCTAGTATTGACAATAAGTGGAGTTTTTATTGTTAGTCGACATTATATATTGTCAAGCCTTTAGGTGCGCAATAATATTTATTATAAATCAAAGGGTTAAATAAAAATAATTTCAAGGTTTTTTGCTAAACACAAAAAAAAATACTTTGAGTTATAGTCTTGATCATACTTTAAAAACCTTATGTCAGGGTCACACTAATGATAAGGTAGAAGTTGAAAAAATTAAGTCAATATATTTAGGATCATATGAACATTTTTGTTATATTTAAACAAATTATCAACGTACTAATTTTTAATTGCAGCTTAATAGCGACCCGTCTCCAGACATAGAAAGCCGAACAGATCCAGTAAAAATGGCAACTGAAGCCGGAAGTCCTCGAAGACTGGGACTTAATTTAAACTTGAGCGTACAACCACATGCATATCATTGGCCTCACTCGACGGTCGTTGATGCATCACCGCCAAGGTCAAATGGTGCCGCCACCGACGATGAAGATGACAGGGATCAAATGATGGATGATGATGACGATTGTAGACAAGATGAAGACTGTACGCCTGAAGAAGAACAGGACATATTAGAGATGCAGGTAAATTTTAATTGAAACAATTTATGAATTAAAGCCAATTTATCATTTGAAATAAAAAATTGATATTCTTATTTTAATCTAAATGTTTCTAGCGCGAAGAACGTGAAACACTCAATCAGTTGGCTAGACAATTGGCTTCTGGATCTAGATTGATGGCACCAATGTTACAGCATTTGGTATACCAACATCCCGGTCTATCTGTTCAACCAGTTTTGCAACACCAGCAACAGCAATTGTCTATGTCCGGTGGATCTGGATGCGCTACCGCTTTATCTCTAACTACCTCACACAGACAGTCAATGACCGCCGACTTGTCACCAAAATCAAGTCACTCAGGCGACACACAAGGACATCCAAATGATATGCATTCGCCTTCTATGAGTCGAAACAATGAAGCTCAATCATGGACGTTTGAAGAACAATTTCGCCAGGTAAATTATCTATTAGTTTAATTTGTNGACGTTTGAAGAACAATTTCGCCAGGCAAATTATCTATTAGTTTAATTTGTTATTATAATATTGTTAATATTTGTCATTCGATCAACTACTAAATTGAATAAATTATTTGTTTAAAATAACACTACGAGGGATGATGAAATGGACTAAATTTTCTGGTGTGCGATGTAATAAGTAAATTTAAGAGTAAAACATTAATAAACGAGAGAATGGAATTTATATTAAAATTATGAAAATTGATTTTATAATAGTGATTATTAAACATTTTAAAATAACTATAGTTATTTTATACATATTTAATTATTATAAGACTCGTTTAAAAAAAGTGTTATTTCGAATTTAATTCTTTATTTTATAAACGATCGCAGTTCATGAGTTTGATAGAAATAAAATGTATATATATATTTTAATTACATTTAAAATTAAAATTTATTAGAACAGTATAATATGAACACTGAGTGAAAAATAATTATTTTTTATTATCTATCCATATTTATGATAAACATTATATTTTGGTGCTGGTAAGATATTTACTTAATTTTATATTCTATTAAGTTGATTTAATTTGTGTGGTCTTATGTTGAATGAATGATAGTGACTGACGNATATTTATGATAAACATTCTATTTTGGTACTAGTAAGATATTTACTTAATTTTATATTCTATTAAGTTGATTTAATTTGTGTGGTCTTATGTTGAATGAATGATAGTGACTGACGTAAAGGAAACACGATTGCATGATAATTTTTCTAATAAGAAGAATTAGTTTTAAGAACTGTACTTTAATGACTTTCATAATGAATACCTAATTCAGTTTCCTGTTTCACTCAATTTAATGGTGTTATAATTTTTTTTTTCTATATATCCGTTGGTGTTTATTTAAAATTGACAAATTTTAATTATAAATGCGTGCGTGTAAAATATTAGCGTAAAACAAACGTGAAAAGTATTAAAGTGAATTAATTCTATTTATATAGATAATCCACGCTAAGCTCTTCCTTCTTTTGGGTTCTTTTTCAATTTGTTTACCTCAGACTGAGTTCGAGTTTATTGAATGAACGCCAAATTTAGAAGAACAATCGACGTGAACGTAAAAAAACAATAAAACTCTAATATTTCTCATAAAACACCAAAAAGGGGCAGATGACAGGTTAAATATTGTTCTCATATCGTTTTAATGTTCCTAATAGAGAAAAACGTCCGAAATAATTTTGTTTGTTTAAACATTATCTTTAAACTGTATGTGTGACATCGTCTAAAATCGAATAGAAAGGCAGATGCACATGCCTCATCATCGGTACATTGTTATTTTGTTTCCGGGTGAAAATATAATAATACCCGGAGTTTTCACTTTCGAGTTCATCGACACCCGCTTACCACCCCCGCAATTCTGTAGTGGACAAAAAAAAAAAAGACAGAAGAGACTTACTCATAATCTGTTTCTGCTTTTATTATTTTGATTTTTTCTTTCTTTGGGTCGCTCATATTTGAACAATATATCAATGGGTTACCGAACGAAAACGAAACTGGTGTGCGGACAGACACCTGTTGAATCGCCGTTCGAGTTACATAATAACAATAACCATGTGACAATAATAAAGAATAATGATAATGAGAAGAAAAGGCGAAATTAACGTACCCATTCGAATGCCGTGTTGGATGCTTAAGCAGCTGACACAAAAATGATCGTTGGGAACTCCATTCGGACGCATATCAGTTCACACGGCAGTGGAGACCAATTTCAATCGCTTGTCATGCACAAAAATCTCTCGTCTTTTCCGCATATTCTGTGTCTTACTATATTTTTTTAGTCCACACCTGGCCTCAGCCAATATGGTAACCCTTTTATTTTATCACGTGAACTATGTACGTCGTTGAATAATATAGAGTAATTATCAAGTTGGGTTTGTCTTAGGGGTAGACCATCGTCGTCGGTAATCGGTCTATGAAATCTCTATAGATATTTTTTGGTGTGTAAACACACTTTTTTTGTCACAATAGACTTTCTCATAGAAGCGACACATGGACGGTAATTTTACTTTTCATATGCTATTCTTTTACTTCTTAGTCAAGACTTAACAAAACTAACATAATCGTTTGGTCTTATTCAGTTGGTCGAGTTTCACCTTTCAGTAAATCAATCAATGAAGAATTATTATTACCTTCGACGGAGTTCTAAAATTAGATTAACGCCAAATACATAAAACGTACTATATGATGCATTATATATACAGTCTAAATACTGCAAAGCATAATAGTATTGACCATATGTGGTGTGTTTTTTTCACGAGAACTGCAGTTGTAATCGACAGCCATAATGTATAGACGAAATAAAGAAGTAATAAAGTTTTAAGTGTCGAGGCGCTTTTCACGACGGTGCAGTTTTAATCACTCAAAACACTTGGTCCGTCCTGAAATGCACACGAAGACGACACGCTATAATTCTGCTCAGACCACACACAACTTTATGATTCATTTGATCACTTCCATTGTGTGCCATTAAATTGAATCTAGTATTAGACTTTTATTAATTGTTCCTTAATCTCTATACAGTTATTCATACACTTTTGGTAGAAATCGAAGAAAATCATTTATCTTGAAATTTAAAAACTTTCATTTTGGATGATTGTAATTTATATTAAGTCTAAATTACAAAACGAAATGAAAATATGTTTTTGCGCTACAACACTTCTAATAAAACGAGATCCTTTAAAATCTTGTATGAATATACGAAGGGATGTTTGCAGTATATTCATCATGGTTGTATCGTTCACTAAATGTGTTTTTGAAAACATTCTTCATATTAAAAGTCTTAGCTACCTAGGATAATTGACAATATGGCAGTTAAATCCTTAAACTTTATCAGCCATTCCGTCTTTTATTGTCGAATAACTATAATATAATTGAAAAACTGGACAGAGATAAATAGACGTTGGAATTAAATCCTCTTTAGTGTTATTATCCGCCACAGACTTCACCGACAAAACGGTTTACTTTATACGTCTCGTAAGAACCCTACCGAAGCAATTATTTGGGTTAAAAATAATCGTTTACGACCTGATGAAACAAACATCCGAGTAGAGTATCGTTACACGTAGTGAACACGCTTAAAAATTAAAATGACCCTAAGTTAAATGCATTTATTTTTTACCACTTTTTAATATCATTGTTTTACATGGCAACGAGAATGACGAACTTATCAAACGGTAGTCGCCCATGGATTCAGTAGTCGAACATCGTTTAATGACAACGTTTCGTCTTCAATGTTTTATGTAAACGGCTGACCGTCGAATGGATTTCGTTAATACTTACCCGAATCTCGACGAAGCAAACGAGTCGCACATGTGCAACCCACCGAAAACGGGCGGTGCAGACGGACAGTGAGCAGTTTTGCCTTTGGCTGAATATTAATAAGCACACTAATTGTTTTTTGGATAAATAAAAAATTATATTTAACGGAGAACTGAATTACGCCCTTGTGCCGGTCGAGAATATATTTAAGATTCATCGACGACGGTGGCAGCGTCGGATACATTATAACCCAGCTTACATAAAAAACTATGTACGACTTGTCTAGCAACTGATCGATTATACACGCCCATAGAGCAGAGTTGAAATCTCTTGTACGCCTAATATAAAAACATTATCATATACAGCGTGTATTGATTAGACCGTGAAAATGATTACAGCGGTTTGGGAGGAAAATATAAATTCCTCGCCCTCCACACATATACACGAACACTCTATTTACGGACCATGTTAATTGCTGTTTAAATTCACCTTTGATTGATTGTCGACCATATACACTGATATTTCTAATAATAATAGTAATATTATTAGTAACGTCGTTGAAAGATCTTTTTGTTATATTTGCCTTTACCCAATTACCGTGCGGACTAAGAATAATCGGTTACGATTAACCGCGCGCTTGGGAACCGTTTATGGATATTAGTTGGAATGATGAAGGAATAAAATATGTATTCGGTTCGATTGAGACCGTCGAATAAACGACTAGCGATCGGTCATCGCTTCGTAGCAGACACCTTATGGCAAGGCCATTGATCCGAAAACGTTCACAAAATTCATTATTCTATCGAATTCGTGAATAATTTGTTTGCCGCACTTTATTGTTTTAGTAGGATCAGTTTGATTTGTTTGGATTGACCAAATTATTTAAAAGGCGACATTTGCACCACCAATGCTGTAATATTCAAGTCTAGGAAACTCATTAAATAGAAACAAACGCTATAGGATATCTTTTTACTACTAGTAAACAATATCAGTAAAATATTAACGGTGAATTCTACAAGAGAACAATGTTGTCAATAGCTATAAAGCAGATGATTTAACAACCTATCGTCTGTATAGGTAGCACGCTTACCACAAGTATATGCGCATTGTATGAAAAGTGTGAAATCGTTAACGTTTTACATTGTTACATACTTCATTTGCAAAATCTTAGTCTTCCTGAGCTATTATCGCGCTTGTTATCCGAATATCCTTCTCAAACCGTTATTACTGATTTATTCGCTATAGCCGATAGTTTACCTTATTTTTCACTTCTTGTAAGAAAGTGTTGGTGAGGTTTAGATTATTTTTCACATTCGTGAAAAAAAATATCAATATAGAAAACCGTAAAAAAAATATCAATATTTCCTATATTTTTTCATAGTCCAATCGTGGTCGGTTTTGTATGAAAACTATTTTATTATCATTCTTTTAAGCAAAATTTTTAAGTACAACATTTATAAAACAAGATAATTTTTTGTTTAAAATAATCATTATTAAAAGAAACATAGGAAGGGTAAGATAATTTTACAATATCTTTTTACTTTGGGTTCTATTGATTAGAAAGGGAAAACTGTAATGTATTTGGAGGATTTAATGTGCATAATTATCTTACCAATTCTTGAAAAATAACATTTGCTCAATTGTAATATCCGAGACGCCTAATTTATGTGTATTGTGAAAAAAAGTCGTTCTCGATTTGTAGAAAGAGTATTATTTCTTCGTTTATTAACATAATGTTAATAATTTTGTTTAAAAAATTGTTTTATTGACGAATGTTTTCCAGATGGTTTTTATATACTGGATTGAAAGTACACGGCATATGTAACTTATTATTATACTCGACGAATATTGCGTGATATTCATGTTATTATTTTTAACTCGAATCAAATAATATTATTACTATTATTCACTATTATGTGTACGTTTAATGATGATAACATTATACAAATGATTAATACCGGACTGACGGGATTCCATCAATATCTCAAGTGTATAATATCTAATATTAAAAATACTTTTGTCCGGATAGTATGCGTGCTACTGCTGATATCACGTCAACATATTATGCATCTGAAATTTATAAAGAGCTTCATCATGAATCTTACATAATTGATTGACATTTTTACTTGAAATTCAAATAACGGTTTGATATTTTGCCATCATACATTCATTTTTGTATTTAAATCTAACCTAAGGTTAGATTTAGACGGTTAAGAGAAGAATTGTAAGTTTTCTCTGAGCTATCGCGTTTATTAGTTATATACTATTGCTGGATGATAAATGATAAAAATCTGAAATCATACAAGTAGTTATAATTTTCATATTTCCATTTTTTAGAGATAAATTCAATAAAAAAAACTAGTTAAATGTTGTTTGAACCTTTCTGGCACGTATTTTAATTTGAATTAAACTGTTTGCACTAAAATGTTGAAATTGTTTTCAAGGTTTTGATGAGTGGCATTAGCAAATTTTGAAAACGGAAACTGCCAATGTATAATTGTTCTTTATACTTCGCCTAATTGTGAAACCATATTGCGTGAGGCTACTCCGTTTTCAATGACCGCTAAGTTTTTAATGGTTGTGGTTGATTCGTTCTACCCTTAGTAGTTTACAGCGTTTTAGGGAAAAGTGGATAAGAGGTCCGGTGAGTTTTATTCAACGTTGGTTTGTTTTTAATTGAGTCGTATAATTGAATATTTGCCAGTCGTTCAACCCTGATGTGTGTGAAGTAGATTTATTGCTTTATTACTATACGGTAAGCGTATGCGTGTTGTGGGGGTGTTTTCTTTGACACTGTGTTTAGGCCATGAGAACTCGAGCCAGTCGCGTTTTCACCCCTTAAGTCGTAAAAACCCGCGGAGGCCACGAATTTTTGCCCCGCGGCCTAGTAAAAGCTGTCTATTCATTGAGAATGAGGCTGAATGGATAAACTACATTAACTATAAAAGGAGAAATAGACAATTGGTGTATTATAATGTGCATTAACATTAATTTAGTTAAACATTTGTTAATTTTTTCTATTGTATAATAAATTAAAGAGTTGTTTTTCTAGCTGCTACATTAACATAATTGTCACATTTGCCAAAGAACAAATAATATGATACAATAATTAAGCAATAGCTTATTATTTATCACTGTTGTAATGACAGTAATATATTTTTACATTTTATGATGACATTCAATTAACAAGAGTAAAATTTTAGCCTAATTCTTTATTTAGTTATGCGTCAATAATCAATATTAATTGAAAATAATATACTGCTATTGTATATTTTTTGCCTAATTAATATTCAATGACCTAAATCCATCTTGATGTACATTTTTACTAGCAATGTAACGAAATGATTGCAAACTTATTAAGCTTAAAAATCCAAACAAAAACAACATATTTAGTTTGAACAAGTTTTACTTTTTTTCCTACAATTTGGTCGAGTCAATTTTTTTTAGATTCGCTTTCATATCAGAAATTTAATATTGTAATTAATTATTTTTTTATTATTTTGAAATCATTCATTCGTGATTTCTTTTTCACCTTGAATCAAAAATATGTTATTAGGTAATTGTTAAGACGGTTTTTTACGTTGTTAAATATTTTATACGGTGCTTTTTACGATTGAAAAATATATTTTAATCAACGTATTATTTATTTGTTCCAGTTATACTCGGCCGGTAATGAAGCAGATAGACGTACTTTTTTGGATTCATTGTTTAGTTTCATGCAAGAACAAGGTAAGTGAAGTAAAAATATAAATACAGCGCGAGCTCTTTCAGCACTTCTCTTTTTTGTGATTGGACATTAACACCTCTGCCATCGTGTTCTAGTCACACTTCCCGTCTATGGGTTTTAAAAAAGACTTGATAATAATGGGCATATTTTAATTTAACGATTGTCAGGTTCATAAATAATAAAAAAAATAAATTTCAAACATTTTACCATGGCCATTGGTAAACCGAAAACATTTTTAACTTTATAACTCAAGATAAAATACTAAATGATATACGGTAATTATAACAGTAAAACAAATTTGAGATTCCAATGAAGAAAAAAAAAAAATGGGTATCAATGGAACAAATTATTAGTTTGATTTATATTGAAAATTGTTGTTTCGACGTTAATTGATAGTGTTTATTTAATCAAAAATGGATTAACGGCAATGAGCAGTAAACAAGTTATTAGCAAACTCCACAATTTCTTTCTAGATTATTGTTGAAATAAAAATTACTACCTTAATAATCCACGTTTCATAGTTATTTTGAAACATATTAATTTAATTATCGTGTTCCATGTTGAGTTATGTTTTTCCGATTCGATCTATTGCGCTTAATTAGCGTATACATGTCTCGCGTTCATTAATTACTCGCCCCCGGCACGTTGTAGAGCATTAAAAATATTATCAATATTATATTATACTAAGACGAATTTAACGTCAGTCAAACTCACAAATATAATAAAACATTTAGACGCACAGGAATGCGTTGCTATTGGGTATGAAATAAAAGTAATCGACGGATTGTGGAAATATGATTAAAAGTGCGTATTATGAAAACGTCATTCATATTAATTGATGTATTAATTTTGGTAAAACGAACACAAAATGAAGAGTACGGATTTTTTTTTGTTTATGTTTTAGATAAATCGATTAAGATAGATTAATTTAAGTTTGAATCTGATGTTTTGAAATACTTTTTGAAAATTTGTTCATTTTTTTATATTTCAATTTGATGTAATGATGGAATCATTCAACTAGAGGTGATATTAGTAATGTTTGGTTTATTTAGAACTTAATATTTGACGTCACCGGCTAACGAAACGTGTCATTAGTTGGTAGAAAATTGTTCTACGGCATTCACTGTCGCAGACCACAAAAATAGTCATTCGTGTTGTGTTTCCTCTGCACACAACAGCACAGTGGCACAAAGTGAAGCTTTATAAAAATGGGTTATGTGACGCGCGGCGTCGTTAAAAAATCGTGTGGGACCAAAAGAGACGACGCTACTTAATGGGAGTGTGTGTATAAAAGAATAATAGGGTAAAGGTATATAAATTAAAATTTTATAGGCAAATAAAAACCAAACAAAACGCAATGAAATATCGATTTTTCGAAACGTGTTTTATTATTTCAATAGATGTTTTTAACGCGCATTATGAAAATGATTTACCAATTTATGGCGGCCGGACTATAAACGTTGGGTTTATATTTTATACGTGTACGTCTCGGATTTGAAAATCAAACTAGAACGTAAAACCGGCCTACAACAAGTAGTAAACGTTCCAAAAGCAATTACTACAAATTCTGGCGAATATAATATACAATCATACTAATAAAAAGTCTGTCTCCGATATCCACGTTTACCGATTATTTGGCGAGCTGCTATGTACTCCTTGAACGGGTTGCTACCGAGAAGCAATTTAATGTAACAAGTAAAATTTTCGTTTGGCATTTACCAATCTTCAGTGATACGTTGGTTAGATTGCAATGAGAAAACGGTATTAAATTGTCTTTAATGCCGTTCTTAAATTGTACGATGTTATCCAACAAAATTTGCCAGTTAACTCCTCACCAAGTCTATAGTAAGATATATATAGTTGAGAATGGAGGTAAATGACCCAATACTTTGAAACACAAATGAGTCATATTTGTGTTTAAAGTAATTACGATTCAATTTATTTAATTATGGGTTGGCAACAGTTTAACAACTCATCGATATTACATAATCAGTATTAAATTTAACTATTATAAGTAAAACCTGTAACAAATAAAATTATATTGTGAGAGATTCTGTGAAATATTATCACGATGTTCTATTCCGTTGCATATTTACTGTTTACAATAACATTATAATTTTAAATTATTTTTCTATAGGTTAATTAGGAAAACAGACTTTAAAATAACAAACATTGAGTTAAAAGTATACGTGAAATAGTCGTCAAAAGAATATAATTTAATTTAAAAATGTGTATTGGATTCGGGTCGTATTCGGTTTTCTAAGTGTGCAACTCGCCATTGTTACTCCATTTCCCCCCATAATACAAACAAATAGATACACTATTAAAAATCCATATTACTAATTATTTCTGTCTTTTGTCTTTTGGGAAAAATAAGACGAACTCGACACATACTCAATGGTATTAAAAAATATTTCTATTAATTATCCCAAACAAATGTTTATTATAATATATACGATAACCATATATCTTTGCATTTGTTTTTTACTGCATTGTTGTATTTTTGTTCAAGTACAATTCTGATCCGCTATTGTGTGTAAACGCACACATGACATGTTTTCCATGAAAGCTATCGTATATCATTATATTTTATTATAATATGTAATGTATTTATTAGATACATTATTGTGTGATGAATGCGAACAACGTTTCAGCGGATGCTAATGAAAAATAAAAGGGCACATTTACATTGGTACATATACAACAATAATAATTACAGTAGAACGCAATTAGAAAACATTTGTCATTATAATCGTCGTATTAACGAAATATTATTGTTCTATTATTTTTTTATCACACCAACTCATAAATTATTGATTAGCATTGCGATTACGCGTCGTGGGTATGTCTGATTTCGTACATATGAGCAATTAAACAACATTTTAAAGTTATTGTCCAAACATTGTGTATATATTCGTGTTCGTCATGAATTTGACACGACAAAATATTACATTTATGCGCTGCGTAATAATAACAAAAGAGGTTTAAATAACTGTTTGTTGAACTTTTTGCTCCAATAGGTTCTTTTCTGGATCACTCGTTTCCAGTGTTACTCGTTAATTTCCTATTGATCACGATGGAAAATTTAACAACCGTTATTGTTTTTGTTCAAAAGAATTTTGTAAATATTATTAAAGTAGTTCTATTTTTATATTTTCAATCGATTAACCTCGATGCACGTAGCTAAGAGGAGAATACAAGCCTGAAAACAACAGTAAATGACAAAAACAAATAATCAGCTATGTTTACATAATTGCGGACTATAGTCAAACTTCTACCAGTTATTGTTAATAATCATCGCTCGGGGAAGCTATAAATCATCATCTCGGTCTAGAATAAAATTTACAAGTGTCATCCAGTTGTCTATCGTAGGGTGTGTGCATTCATGTCTGATTCTATTTGTCAGACTATCCGTTACATATTTGTTTTGGGCTCATAATACATAATTGTAGAACTACAATCATTTGACACATATTATGTAAGGCTCATAATGATGTTATTACAATTATATATTTTTACAATCGGAGTATTTTTTTTTAATTTTATATTTAATTTATTTGTTTTAAATGTTAATCCTGTGGCTTAGCATTTATGGATACATAATTACTCTATTAAAGCCATAACACTAATTAAAAACGTAAATAATTACAAAGAATTTAGTACAAGGGAGGCAATAGAAATGTTTAAAAATAAGAACAATTTTATTGATTCGGAAATTGTTAATATTTAATTCAGTCTTAAACTGGTAAAATGTGATAATATTACTTAGTGATAACGACATACTGAGTGTATATATGGAATTTTTTTTTCGGTGGGGGTATCAGTATGTATTTAGTGTTGGTAATGGTAATATCCGTTTGAAACGTATTCGCGATTTTTGTGGCTTTTTGAGTTAAATATTTATTAGTTTTGAATTAATATTTTTAATAAAATAAAAATTTTAAATAATATCAGCTCAATATTTATTATATAATAGAAATAATAACAGAGAAGTATATAAAACGCGAGGAGTGTATTACACAGAAAAATAATTTTGCAAAAAAAAAACCGTGCCCGAATATATGAATGACACTATTATTAGCTCTAAGAATGATAATAAATAATAAATATTTTCGAAAACATTCAAGTTTTACAACCGACAAAATGGCGTCTGTTACCGCGGTAAATAGCTAATGATCAGAAATTATATAGAAAAATAACTTTTTATGTGTGGTAAACAATGACGATATTTGCATACATTATTCAGTCACGCCTATTTAATGATATTAGCAAAATGTCCTAAAGTAAACGTGGAAATATCTTCGAAGTTTAATTCTGTTCTGAGTATATGTATTATTTTGAAATAATTATTGCTAATTTCAACATATCGTCGGGGTTATTTTAAAATTGTTTTTCAATATTTGTTCCAGTGTTCAATAAAAACGATATAGAAAATTTAAAAAACGTAGAGACGTGTGGTGTGATACGCCTTTATTAGTTAATATTTAATCAATGTACAGGGTTGCATATATATATATATATAAATGATAATACTAAAATAAGGTTACACAATTTAAAAAAAATATTAATTCGGCAAAATAAATGTTTTCATCCTCCATATTTTTTTTTCAGACGGCCCTGAGTAAGCCATTTAATTGTACATATCCAAGAAAGTAATCACTTCAGTTTTTCTACTCTTGATTTACCCTCATATGTCTTAGTAAATTTATATTTCATTTCGAATAGTTAATTATTGTAATAGCAACGTTTACACATTATTAAAAAATTTGAATTTAACAAAATGCGTTTATTTTATTAAGGGAGAAGTTGTAAACTTCTCAAGTTATTAATTTACTTTTAATGAATTATTTTTCAGGTCCTTAGACTTATTATGTGTTTCTGACTCAAATCACAGCCTTATAATATATTACAATATAAAATTAGCTATAAAAGTCGTATTTCAAATGTTATATTGTTGATATTTTAAATATATTATTTAATAGCTTATTTTTAATATTAACAA